GGAGAGACGGACGGACGGAGAGACGGAGGGACGGAGAGACGGACGGACGGAGAGACGGACGGACGGAGAGACGGACGGACGGAGAGACGGACGGACGGAGAGACAGAGAGACAGATAGACAGACGGGCGTGCGGACTGACGGACAGATAGATAGATAGATAGATAGAGAAAGAGAGGGAGAGAAAGAGAGATAGAAAGATAGAGAAAGAGAGACAGAGAAAGAGAGATAGAAAGATAGAAAAAGAGTAACTTAGGGGTCGGTAAGAATAAGATATTCAGGACTAAGGTGATTTGTGCGGAGCACTATTATCTCACGAGTTGACTAATCCAGCCCCCCCCCCCCCCTTCCCCGCTCCTTTATTTTAATGACGAAACACCATGTGGCTCTCGCCGCCTCAGTTGTAGACGCGTGGACATGCTTACAAAGTATCGACTGAAAAAAAAAAAGAAAGACTTACAATTTTTTGTCATGCCGAATTACAGCGCCGCTCTGGGGGAAAAGGAGGGGAGGCTACGTAGGGGGAAGGAATTCTTCTCCTCCCCTCCCCTTTATAGAAAAATTCTCGCTTATTTTTCGGCTACATTTAGCAAACATTTCCCCACTAAATTTGGCGGGGAAATTTTTACGCTTAATTTCGCGTGGAGGAGAGGAAGAGGGAGGAGGGGCATACAGGCCCTTCCTCCTCCTCAAGAGCTACGCTAATTCGGCATCACAGAGAATTGTAAACGTCTTTCATTTTTTAACTCAGTGATGCGACGAATTCGGATGAGCGTAGTATTTCCCTATGGTTGGTCGCAATAATTATTCGGTCGCGATGTATAATATTTTTTTAAATAAAAATAAAAAAAAAACATAAGAGCGTGTGTTAATACAAACTTTCACATCTTTCAAGGGTGTACAAGGGAAGTTCCAGAGACTTACACGATTGACTACACCCTTTCAGCACCCTTGTTTCGAGTAATACAAACACCTTAATCGCAAATTAGGGTGTTATTGCATGATGCTTGTGGAAAGGGTGCGAAAAAAGGTACTGCTGCGTGCGCAGTGTGGCGAAGGGACTTTACGCTTGCCTCAAGCAGGTTTAGCGACTGTACATCGAATAATTATTGCCTATATTTTGCTCTAGATATGATTAGAAGTCATCTTAGTTTTCGATACCAGTCTGTTGAAATAAATAGAAAAAAACAATCGGATCTTAGGAAACAGACTGCCGGCGTACCGCAAGGGAGCATTCTGGTACCACTTCTTTTTAATCTATGCATCAATGACATCGTGAATATTGAGAAAAATGTAAGTTTCATTATTTACGCTGATGATACCAGTACATTCTTTTCAGGTGATGATACTGATCAGATTATAAGTGCTGCAAATAATTTTTTGGGGAAAAGTTAAATGCCTGGACAAATTCAAATTTATTAAAAATAAATGGCAGTAAGACAAAAGCCGTATTATTTAGATCACGAAATACAAACTGTTTTTACACGTCCATTATTTCTCTTGGAACACACTGTATAGATATAGTTGAAAGCGTAAAAGTTCTCGGAATTATATTTAATCAATACACGTCATGGGACGAGACTGTGCAACAGACATGTCAAAAATTATCAAGAGTTGTAGGTATTATGTACAGTTATCGCCACATCATCCCGATTTCGGTTATGCTTCTTATATATAATTCCCTCTTATACTCAAAATAGAATTATTGCTTCTTGGTATGGGGGAATACGACCGCTACCAACATAAAGCTGATACAAACTCTACAAAAAAAAGAAAGCTGTTCGTATTATATGTCATACTGAGTATAATATCCATACTAGTTCATTATTTATTAAATTGAATATTGTACAGATTCTTAATCAGTATTATTATAAACTTTTTCTTGCATTGAAAAGATCTTCTTGCCAAAAAGAAAATATATTCATGTCTATTTCCAACCTTAGAATGAGAGAGCTTGCCTATGAAACTAGGTCTGTAGACGCATGGTTAGTGCCACACTCCCGAACGAACTACGGAAATCAGACGTTGAAATATATAGTACCTCGTTTTTTTTTAAAAATCGCCTGAGTGAGTTGAATTTAGAAGTTTTGAATGAAACATTAAAAAAATTACATTCCATGTTTGTGAGAGAGTGCCCCTGGAATTTGTAAACCCCGCTAAATCTATTACTTTCCCCCCTTTCCCCCCTCTAATGTTGTTTATTTTTTGCTATAAATGTGATGGTGAAAAAGAAACATAATCTGCGTGTGCATGCTGTCCTCTTTCGATGCTGTGGGGAGGCAGAGGCTCGTCAAGCAACAACTGAGCTGCTTTTTTCTCTGACTCCCCTCTCCAAACGGAGAGAAATAAAGAGTTTGAGTTTGAGTACATAAGGCGGTGAAGCAGTTATTCAAGGTCGTGATTCTAATTTGCACGCGTGCTTTGTTGCGTCTGTACATCCGGTGCCTGTGACTAATGTATGTGGCAGGGATGGGCAGTACTTCAAATACAAGTACTTGAAATACGTATTTCAGATACTTTGTGTATTTTGCATTTGTATTTAATTACAAATTGGGTAATGTATTTGACGTGTGTATTTAAATACTAAAACGTGGGTATTTCAAATACAATTGTAATTAAATAAATTTTGTGGGCGAAAATACATTCCTCAAATTTATTGTCACTGTCCAGAACAGGAAGAAAACTACGTTCTTCACCGAATGCAGTGTCTCTAAATCAAGCGCAAGCGTTTAGTGACTTTGTGATTACGCTGGTAGTCCAGGGCAAGAATAGTGACGAAATCGACGTTCACAGGCAGACTGGCTAAATAAGTGCCTGTGACAACTTGTGATGCTTCCCAGCCTGATTTCCATCCATATTTTTGCCTGAAACATTCTAAACGTGCGGGTTGTCCAGATTTTCGTAACTGGTGCGAGTTGCAACAATAAAAAATTCTCTAGCTAGTGCTGCGCGTCTTGGTCGTCTCGGTTCTTTGTTGGTCTATACCAAAATGTAATCGCCAAAAAAAAGCTGCTTGAAGCTCTGTACTTTTTTCCCCTATTACGTCCAAGCTGATTACATTTTTTTTTTGTGATTATATTTCTATTACGTTACTAGAGCCTGGCACACTAACTCCCGAGTGTGTGATGCAAAATAGAAATGAGATACTCAGAAACCCGTTGCAGGTGCCCTGAAGTTGCTGACGCGAATTTTGAGAAATGTATTAGGAAAAGTATTTGGAGGAGACCAAATACATTTGGTTGTATTTGTATCTTGTACTTAAATGCTTTTTTGGAAATGTAATTAGATTTGTAATCCCATACATTTTTCACGAAGTATTTTGTATTTGTATTTCGATACATATTTGCATGTATTTTGCCCATCCCTGGTATGTGGTAAGTGTAGATTGTATACAGGGATGGGAAAAGTACATGCAAATATGTATTGAAATTCAAATACAAAATACTTTGTCAAAATTATTTAATTACAAATCTAATTAGATTTCCAGAAAAGAATTTAAGTACAAGATACAAATACAACCAAATGTATTTGGTCTCCTCCAAATACTTTTCCTAATACATTTCTCAAAATTTGCAACAGCGACTTCAGGGCACCTGCAACGGGTTTCTGGGTATCTCATCTTAATTTTGCATCGCACACTCGGGAGTTAGTGTGCGAGGGTCTAGTAACGTAATAGAAATATAATTACAAAAAATGTAATCAGCTTGGACGTAATAGGTGAAAAAAGTACAGAGCTTCAAGCAGCTTTTTTTGTCGATTACATTTTGGTATAGACCAACAAAGAACCTAGACGACCAAGGCGCGCAGCACTAGCTAGAGAATTTTTTATTGTTGCAACTCGCACCAGTTACGAAAATCTGGGCGACCCGCGCATTTAGAATGCTCCAGGAAAAAATATGGATGGAAATCAGGCTGGAAAGCAGCACAAAATTTCACAGGCACTTATTTAGTCAGTTTGCCTGTGAACGTCGATTTCGTCACTATTCTTGCCCTGGACTAGCACCGTAATCACAAAGCCGCTAAACGCTTGTGCTTGATTGAGAAAGACTGCATTCGGTGCAGAACGTATTTTTCTTCCTGCTCTGGACAGTGACAATAAATTTGAAGGATGTATTTTCGCCCACAAAATTGTATTTAATTAAAATTGTATTTGAAATACCCTCGTTTTAGTGTTTAAATACACACGTCAAATACATTACCCAATTTGTAATTAAATACAAATGCAAAATACACAAATTACTTAAAATGCGTATTTCAAATACTTGTATTTGAAATACTGCTTATCCCTGATTGTATACTTGTTGCCCGTAAAACATATCTCTTGATGCTGAAATGTTGCTAAGATTACAAGTACTCTGTAATTTATGATGTTGCCCCCCAAAATTAGGGTTGAAATAGGGTGTCAGTTCCGGGGCGAGCAGGTTATAGCCTCAAGGATGTAAATATTTTTTTATTGCGTTAGTTTAATAATATTGATGTGAGTTTTCGAACGCAGTCCTCATCTTTTGTTTCACATCAAATTGCTGGAAAGCGAAGCCTCGTCCCTAGCTGGGCTTTTAGACGGCAGCGATCGCTTCTCCGCGTGCCCTGCAGCGAAGCAAACTGCTCGAATAGCGCAATGGACATTACGTCTCGGAGGGGCTTATCCAAGAGTGTCAATCCGGGGAGGGGTAACGCATTTCTGGGGGGGGGGGGGGGGGGGGGGGGGGGGGGGGCTCCGGGGACGTGCCATAGGTTACGAGCCACCGGAGTCAAATACATAGCTCTGGGCGTGTCACGTGACCCGTACATCGCAAGGTGAAACCAAGTGGACGCTTTTCCAGCACTTATCATCATGGCGAAAAAATGCTACGTCACTGGGCTGTGGACGCAACGTCTGATATACTTCAGAAAGCTACTGCGCATGCTCACACCAGCGGCCGGTAAAATAAATAAATATGGCAGTTCGTGGAAACGGTCTGCGGAGAGTGTGCCACTGACGTTTCCCCTTTCGCGCGCGCAGGCGAGAAGCCCCACAAGTGCGTGGTGTGCGGCAAGGCGTTCAGCCAGTCCTCGAACCTCATCACGCACACGCGCAAGCACAGCGGCTTCAAGCCGTTCGCCTGCTACCTGTGCGGCCGCTCCTTCCAGCGGAAGGTGGACCTGCGCCGCCACGCGGACTCCCAGCACTGCCTGCTGGCCGGGGCCACCGACGAGGCCAACAGGGCCGCGGGGGTCGCAGCCGCTCGAGGCCGAACCGCTCACGCCGCCGCTGGTCTCGACGGCGCCGCTCTTCGGACTCGCCCAGCTGTCCCGCTGAGGGTGCGGCTGCTGGCTTGGTCCGGAGGCCACAACTCCAAACATACGGGACATTACAAGGGAAACTAGGATCGTTTCACCTTCAGTCCGAGCGCAGCGGATGCTAGGAACCATCCCAGCCAATCCAGCGTGGAGAGAGTGTCATGTGACCTTGAGGTCCCTGTGTCCCTCTGCCCAACCGGCAGGTCACGCGATTTTCTCCCGGCGCTGGATCGGCTGGGATAGCTTATGGAGTCCACTGCGCTCGGACTGAAGGTGGAACGGAGTATAGTGTACTGGTTTAGAGCTACAAGCTAGCGCAAATATGAAAAAAAAAAAAAAAAAAGACACTGCGACTTTTGTCGACTTTTGTGTTTGTTCTGTTTACGTGACGTGGACTTCTCCTTAGCAACACAGTAAACAGTATTTTGTTTGTTGCAGAGAAGTGTTTATTTTTTTTCCCCCACTGAAATAAAATGTTTGACACGTTATAGACCCTTCGACGTCGTCTCAGAAAGTTTCTATTTCTTGTCTTATCTTTTCATGCAAATAACGTCGTGCTGTCAAACTTTCGCATTTTATCATCGCCGATGGCTCATAGTGGCACTTAGTTTCAGTTTCGTGGGTGCGTAGTTTATTTATGCGGGCCGAAAAACAAACAATCATAACTTATGTAGCCCGAATGGCCGCATGATGCTTCGAAACTAAATGTGTCTGTGAGAGATTGATTATAAAAGTCATTAATATTGAGACACCATTTATTGCAGCGAAGTGGGCTAGTTGGTTCATAGTTTAAGACAAATATATAAAAGCGCCTTAAACAACAAGGACCGAGGCGAATTAAGACAACAAATAAATGCTGCGCCTTACGTTTTCTTACACCGTCTTGGTCCTTTTTGTTTTCGGCGCTTTTGTACTTTTGACTCCATTTATGAATATGGTGTAGTAGAGATGCTGAACAATCTACACTTCATTTACCGACTTTTTAAAAATTTGTTTAGTTTGCATTCGAAAATGCGACTTCCTCAGCGTCGGGTACGGTGTCCTGAGGCCCAAGCAATGCTCATACTGTTTCGTTCTGTCGTGGACTAATCTAAGATGCCTAAAGGAGGGAAAATCATTTCCTGTGATTTCAGTTAAGGCTCCAGATAACTGGCAACGATGATTTTAATTACGATGATGGTTGAAGTGTTATTTCTCAGAAGCGCGGCTTTATTTCAGTGGCTTTATGGCGTCGCATGATCAGCAGATCGGCCCACATAGAGAATCCCGGTCGCTAAAGCCCCGTGTCATCTGACTCCAAGGTCCAACGCTCAATGTGCCCGTTTTATAATGCATACAAATCTGCCCGCCCGCACTCTCCCCGTTCCAAACCCCTGCCGCACTTTGAGCCTACAGTAGACGGATGAAATGAGGGGGACAATAAGGTTGCCTGAACTAAGAACAAGTTTCGCAATGATCTTACAACCGGCCAACTGCAGAAGTCTAGGACAGGGCTGATGGTATTTAAAGCTTGTTCACCAGCAGAGAGACACAGAAGGGCAAACACGCGATCCATCTGACAGGTGTAATTATTTCTCCCAATGCCTAGGTTTTGTAAATAAACGGGTCTAGTGGAAGGCTGATAACCACTTTTGATTATTGGCAATGACCCTGCATGTTTAGCGCGAAAAAACAAAACAAGTCGGAACTTTTAAAACAACCCCCCCCCCCCCCCAAAAAAAAAAAAAAAGGCGGGGTTTTTGTCGCGGGGTACTTCGGTGTACTCCCGGATCCATTGGTGGAAATATTATGATGGTAACAACAATAGACAGTTTTAGTGGACCGTACGCTATAGCTTTGCGTACGCAAGGAAATTGCGGGTCGTTAGTGCGCATGCTTAGAACGCAATAGAGTGTTTTAGTAGATCGTTCAGCCACTCCCGCTGTGCTATCCGCTAGCCGCTACGACCTCCACTATATGTAGCGTAGCGGAACTACCATTTTAAGTTTTAGTAGAACGTTCGCAACCCGCTACGGATTACAACGTTACGAGAGCTAACGCAACGCCACTAGCGGCTCTTTCGGACACTAGGGCTCGCGTAAAACAGATTTGTAAAGCAATCCTTCGCAATTGTTTTTATTAACGTCGTTATCTTAATAAAATATTGTTTTCTTTATTGAATAACGTGCTAATCGTTGCTTCTTTTGTAAGTAGGTGACTATTATGTTTAACTGTCGGCCAAGCTGTCCAAGCCAATCCGATATGAGTCAAGTGCCAAAGCCACCGAGAAAAATCTTCAAAAATAAAGGACAACCACTGTAGCTCATCTGTTGCGTCGTTGTTCACCGAAAATGAAGCGCCACAGAAATCCCTCATATCCGCCTGCTCGCTCCGCTTCCTTAGTCGGTTTTGTCTTCACGACAAAGCGGCCGAGCAGGGGGCTGCACCTTTCGCTCACAGCACCAAAAACTGCGAAGCTTTTTCTTTTTTGTTTTTGTTTTTTTTGTTCTCCTTTCCGTGGCCGCGTTTAGTATATCCGCCATGAATCGCTACCTGTTGCAGTCGTGGAACGGCTTTGTCGCGGGTACTTCTCGCAGCAGCAAGGTATAATCCACCCCTTAGAACCACGATCGCGAAACGCACAGACCGAGTAGACGCGGCGTGGCGGCCATCTTGAACAGCGTCCCTCGCTGGGTCTCCCTCATCTCGCCAAGACTCGTTCTCGCGAGAGCTACGCTAGCACGCCGCGCTACGCCCCTCGCTATTTTCGCCCGCTAGCGCGCCTCCGCTAGCCTCCGCAGCTCCGCAATGTTTCCGCTAGCAGCGCGCATGCGCAGTAGCGTCGTCACTCTAGCGTATAGCGTAGCGGGAGAGCCAAAACGATCTACTAAAACTCTCTAAAAGGGATAGCGTATTGCGTACGCACGCAACGCTGGGGATTTTGCGTTGCTGGCTAGCGGGCCTTGCGGGTCGCTCTCGAGAGATCTCGGACCCAACGAGAGTTCCAGTTTTAAGATGGCGGTTGCCTCGACTGGCGCATCAAGGGCGACGTGGTGTTTTCGAAGTTCTGTGTTACGTATACTCTCCAGACTGAAGATACCTGCCGTCTCTCAGAAATGCATGCAGTGTGATCTCTTCTTCAGTTGCTGAAATACCAGGACAGTCCCTCACACAGCACCTTCTAGGCACTGAAGTTGATCACGTCAATTCACTGACTCCTTTTCTTTTACCTTTACAGCAACATTAAGCGATGAAAAGCAAATAAAAGAAACCTTGTCTGCTTGAACCGCTCGTGGAGGTGCGGAGAATAACAAAATATTTAAAAAAATATTACACGCGCTCGCGGTAAGCACGGGGAGGGATACAACACACGTGACTTCCGGCGATGCCTCCCTTCTGACCGCCCCGACACCTTGCGGTACAGTTACGCCACAGTGCACTGACGGGAACTTCGAATTGGGCCTCGTATTTCTATTTTTTTATAAAAAAAAACTACGCACCTCTATAGTGAAACTTTTTTTTTTTTTTTTGTAATGCCCTGACATGGCATTTCAATGCCTAGCATGAAAAAAAAATTTTTTTTTTTGGCGTGTCAGAGGTTTTTTAATATTTCATTTCCGTCCCCGAAGAAATAGTACTTATTTCAGACCCCTCCTTTTTCCGCCAGACCTTACACCTCTGCTAACCCTGTCCTACCAGATTGTCACTATATGGACTTTTTATTACTTTTTTTGTGTTTCAAATTATTGTACTACGTTCGCTCACATCCCCTTCATGTAATACCTCATCGGGCCCTGAAGGACAAATAAATGAAATAAATGATATGAGAACAGACGTATAGCTAACACCGAAACTCAAGTAGACAAAAAAGAAAAAAAAAATTTCATAAAGTCTCTTTTTTGCAGTACCTATTTGGATCCAAAATGGCGTCTTTCAATGTTTGCATCTTAGTGTAAAATAGGGCATATTATTAAGTAGTAGCATAGCCTCCTCTATACTGACAAAGCCTGGCAGATCGCCACGAGACGCGGCCGCGGAAAGTGAAAAGGTAGAGCGGCACACAACGGATGGAGAGGAGAGGCTAGAGTGCCTTCATACACACGCGCTTTTGCTTGAGTGGTGACATCTCAGCCATTTTTCCGCTCAATCGTTTTTTTTATGCATTTTGAAGTGCGCGCAATCCGGTGTCACTCAGCTCGAGCGCGTAGCTTTGGCTTATGCATAGACGCCATCTTACCGCCCAAGTCACGCACCGAGTGCGCGAGAGCGTCACGCGCTGGCACATTCCGGACAACAATGGTTGTCTTCACCCTGAGACAGACAGACATCTAGGCACCCTAGGAGAGGCATGTAACGGGCGCCCCGCTGCGGCGAGACACCGAAACACAGTGTATTTTTTTTACTCCTATTGACGAGGGTAAATGGAACGCCGCCCCTTCCCCGTTGCGTCTGTTTCGTTTGCACTCAATATTATGCGGCAAACTGCAGTGGCTGATTGATTCCAGATATTGATACACGGGAACAGCGTCGAAAGGTCATGTCCCCTGCTTGGAGTTTTCCGCGGTCCATGCGCCATAGGGCACACGACTGTATACTTTGATGACAAACGGGAGCAATTCGCGCTTGCACTGCTGAAGACAAAATATCGACGACGAGGCTGAGCACGCTGACGACCTGGGAGGGCGAATGGGGCCGCGAGGGCACAGCTACAAGCAACAGAGCCCTCACAAGGCCTGGTTCCTCCGCTCAGTCCTCGGAAGGTGCCTGAAGAGACTGCCGACTTTGACCTTTCCGAGGTCAAATGCGAAGAACGAGCAGCACGCAAGGCGCGCCTCACTACTCTCCTGCCGCCCAACCCTCACCGCATTCCGAGCATCTTTCCGCGATGGCAGCGGGTGGCGCTCAACCGACTCCAAACGAAGACGGTGCTGACGCCAGACTGGCTGGCAAGAATTCACCATCCGACGGATCCAGACGACGTCGGCCCCGATCTGAACTGCGAACACTGCGGCGTTCCTGCCACTTGCTCCCATCTCCTGTGGGACTGCGCAGAATCCGCGCCGGAGCGCGAGGCCGCAATCCGCAACCTCCCCTACCATATACGACCTTGCTCCTACACAGAATGGACCAAACCAACAACCGCCATTCGGAATGAACAAAAACTCATCTACACATCTCTCATCAACTTCCTCCGATCCTCCGGGATCGGTAGGTTCAGCTAATCATCATCATTTTCACTTCCGTTCACCCTTTCCCCCCCGCCTAATCTGAGGCCTTCAGGCCAGAAGGCGGCATCACCCAATAAACGTTTTTACTACTACTACTACTGGGTTCGAGCCCCACCCCTGCCCGTTTCGAACTGAATGAGCATCGTACCGGCGTGCGGTCGTGTATCACTGCTGCGTGGTGCACGTTAAAGACCCCAGGCTAGCGGTTGTACCGCACTGGCTAAATTTCTCGTCTACAGCTGGGAGACTCGTCGCCCCTGTGAGGCAGACCAAGTTCTAGGCTGTATAAACACACACACAACCCAATTCTATCGCCGTAGCCTCGACATCAGCAGTCAGTCGCATCGGTTTCTCCCGAGAGAGCAAGTGTGTTTCGGGTCTACGCCGCCCAAAAGCTGTGCGCTCACCACCAGATTTCCCGAGAAATGCTCTGTGCTACCAGATCCTGGCGCTCTAAATGTGCGACCGGGAACTCTATGGCTCCGTCGTCGAACTGCCAGGCTTTGTGAGTATAGAGGAGGCTGTGGTATTAGGCGCCCACCTAAGTTTGTGTGGTACGCTACCATTTCTTCACAATGTGTCCTTTAACGACAGGAGTTTTATGCAAATTAAAAAAAAAAAAAATAGAGAAGAGTATTAGCAAAAATAAAATTTATCTTTTTACAAAAAATATATTTTTCTTGAAGTTCAGAGGCTTCCATATCCAAATTAATTGTTTAGTACATATCCCAGACATAAAAAAATTGTCGCGCCTCCTTTGGCATTGAATGACCCAGCTGTAGGTGAGAAATCTAGCCAGCGCAGTAGAACCGCTAGTAGTCATACACGACCGCATGCCGGCACGATGCTCATACGGATCGGAGCGGGACAGGGAGTGGGGTGGGGAGCGAAAGCTCGCTACAGCGCGAGCTTTCGCTACACGTGCTCAGAGCTAAGGTGCGCTAACTTAAAGCCCCTTGATAAAAGCGTTTTTTACAAGTACCGCCAACCATTGTTGTGGAAGCGCGCGAGACACGTGCCATGAGCGGGTGCTCCGCCGCCATTCGCTTCCAAGGCCAGCTGATTTCAGTGCTGCGCCGCCATTTGCTTCCAAGGGCCGCTCGAGACATGGGCCTCGTGCACTCGCGCATTTGACGCTACTTGCAAGCCAAGCGCAAACACATTAAGGGGCTTTACGCTAACCCATTTGGCCACCAATCCACCTCTGCACTATCAGCCTGCATTAATTTGAATCAAAATAGAAATAGGAGGAAAATAGTGAGAACCTGAAGCAAGGCAACAGAAATGCTTCCAGGCAAACAAGCACACTTGTAGTAAGCAATCCAATCTGCTGATGACAAACTAGATACAACAGGAACATTTTGATCGAAGCCTATTACAAAGGTGCTGATTGCAATAAAAAAAAAATGAAATACAGGTTGACTTGGAGTACCACTGTTTCGTTGTATTTCCTCTTAGGCCGATACCAATCTACATAGCATGTTGGGTTCATCATAGGGAAAGTTAGTTCCAACTAGAGGATGAGCACAGAGAAGTAAGTGCAAGGTGGGTATACCTAAATGTAAGTAACATTAACGCATTTTACCAGTCCTTTGTACCGAAAGCATGTCTGGAATGAAACCACCATCTGCCATCCATAGCCACCATCGCGAAAAATCGTGTGTTCACAAATGCTGTCAAGGGGACACTGGAACCCCCTATAAAATATTATTTTTTACCAGGCGACTTATTGTGGTGTCAGAAGACTCCGCAATCAATATTTTGCTACAGTGTCAAGTAGATTTTTAATAAAGTAAAAGAACGCAACTGCTCGAAACCGAAGCTGGACTCGGAAGGAAGAAAAAATAGAGAAAGCTATTAAAAATCACATGCCTGTGCAACATCTTTTTTTTTTTTTTTTCGTCGTTAACGTATTTACAGTTTTTGCAAACCATAAAAAGGGGTACTATATTTTATTTTTTTAGCATTGAGTGTAAGCCTTCGACGGCGCATGACTTTGATTATCTTTGGTGGTTGTGTACAGACCATAAAAAAACGGCACGTGACGACAGAGAAGAGAGTGAGCGCGATTCAAACCGGCCACTTCTCGATCGGAGGTTTTCGGGCGGAAAGAAAACGAATTTCGAGCCGCAAATTGTGCTCTGGGTAGTTTGGCTGTCATATGTCATGTACAAAGAAACAACCTTGGCGAGCATAAATACCCTGTCAGTGTCACTTTAAAACACATTAGTGTTTTCAGATAGCCATGCACAAAATGTATTACTCCTGTGGGGGGCCGCAAGGTCCTACCACGTTATTTAAAGTGAGGACATTGAACGAGACATCCGAACGACGTGTCTGTTTGTGATGGCGGATTCAGAATATTCTCTTGCACGAGCTCTCCGAGGCGCGTGCGCGTGCTGCGCCTCGAGCCATCTCTTTTCTTTTCATGAGAAGAATGGATCGGTGGGTGCGTTGCACCCTACACTCCCTTTTGTTTTCTTGTTTTCTTTTGTTATGCTCTATAATGCTAAGGGCCTTGAGGGTATTTAAACATATTAATATAAATCTCTAACACTTTTAGAGCACCAGAAAGGCTGCACTCAGAACCTGTAACACCAGCGCAATAAATAATCCAGGGACGGGATATGAGAATAATTGTGTGTACGTTTAGACAGCGGGAAGTTGGTCAGCCCCAATGGACGTCTGCTGTCTCCGCTGTGGATGAGAAATTTAGCTAGCGCAGTACTACTGCGAGCCTGGAGTCTTTAACATGCACCACGCAGTAGTGATACACGACTGCACGCCGGTACGATGCTCGCCCTGATCGAAACGGGCAGGGGTGAATGCCTGGGTTCTGCAGTGCGAGCTTTCGGTCCACGTGCTTCGAGCTGCGACGTCCCACGGGGAGCGACACCAAAATGAAAACACCAACCAACTTTATTCATGTTGGAAAAGCTGCCTCTTTCGTTTAGACGAAATTCCTAGCTGCATGCACCCACTGCCCCCACAGAAGGTCCTTCTTTCTCAAGTTTGGGTAGCGCCCCGACTAGATCGCGGAGGGGGTTCGGGGCATCGGGAGTCCGGCCCTCGGGCACGAAGCCCACTCGGAAGTCCTCCCAGGCCGCCTGCGGCTCGGAGGATTCCAGAAGCAGGGAGGAGGCCTCACCGAGGACCTCCGTGTCCACTGGCTGGACGTCGACCAGGGGATCGTCTCTCCAGGAACGGACCACGGTGCTCTCAGTGTCCGTCAGCAGGAACAGGACCTGCAAGACATGATTGCCCAAGAGTGAGCCTTGCGTTGGTAAGAGCTACAAGTCCCGTGGTCGAAGACTCGCAGAGCAGGCAACGCTGCAACGAATCATCGAGCACCCTGCCATGGCACAATAAAAAAAAAAGGAAGTCGGTTGGGTACGAGACGCCAAAGCTCGGCGTTCCTCTTCTTTCTACTACCGGTACAATTTGTTTGTTCGTTCGAATCGTCGCACACTTTGCCATTTGTTTATTTGCTTGTTCAGCTCGGCACAGGTTGAGAAGAAAATAAATAATAAAAATGTGAACAAGAATAATAAAAACATAGTTGCAGGAGAAACCGAAACCAATAAAGAATAACCTCCGTAAAAATATGGGTAATTGCAATGTGTATGTAATTGCTGCGAGAAAGTCTAAGAGGGAAACCAGAAGAGTAAGGCCACACCCTTCCAGGGAATTTGTCAATTCTGGCTTGGGGAAGGGCGGGGGTAATAAATGTAGGAAGAGCAAGCAAGAGGATAGCTAAAGATGCAAAGTGAAAGATATATATAGTCCCTGCACTGGCAGGGTAATCCCATCTAGCTGGTTTACTGCTTAGTAGTAGTAGTATTAACATATTTACTGATCATTGCTAATCGTCTCCTGATCCTTATGGGTGGTAGGAGTGGCCTGGGAGAAATGCTGTTGTTACCTAGAGGGTAGCTTACACAGCTCCCTAGAAATCACTTATCACTCCCAATAACCTTTCACACTGCTGCTCTGTCGTATTTCATAAAGACGAAAGGAAAAAAAAATATGGGGATAAAATCTTTTTCTGCTCATTAAATTTTCAAGCCATACACAGAACGAAAGGAGAATCAGATACCTTCGAGATTGAAATGCACTGCATCTATAGTGTACATTTTTTAGTGCTAGCACTAGTTCTAACCAAGGCCCCTTGTAAAATGATGAATATTAGACTAAATTAAAACCCTTAATCCACTTTGTAATGCTCGAGTAAGTGCAATTCACAAGGTCGCACAACTAAATTTGCTTGTGGCATTAGTATTATCTAAGTGGTTACTGACGAAGCCGTTGGCTAAGCAGAGAAGCACAATGCTTCACTGTCTGTTTTGTTTGGATCCATACAAGTGTTTTCTCGGTTGCACTGTCATTGTCAGTTCATACCTGCCCTAACTACAAAGCCTGGCGCAGCTTTCCCAAACATACGACTGACAACCGCATTTTCTGACACGACTCAAAGCCTGTCATTAAAACGTACAGTGTGGAAGACTAAGCTCGTGTGTGACACCAACTTGTTTGACGCTGAACTCTGTAAGTAAACTGTGACTAAGCACTTGCGTCACATTCGGCCTCGCATGCTGCGCAGTGTACATCGACAATAGGAAACAAGGATGATAAGCTCGTGAACGATCATCGTCTTCGTTTAATTTAAAGAAAGTATCACCATGCTCTCTCGCAATTTGGTAATTCTCTCGTTAAATTATCATGTGCACACATCTATATGATTCCCCACTGGTGGTAATACCGTGCGAGAAATTTTAGACCACCTTTTGAAACAGCGAAAATTCCATTTTGGAGCAGCAAAAACACTTGGAGCACAAGCATACCCCTAGTTTTTATTCCTTCCTCTGTGAACACTATGCTAAGATTCATCTGTTAGCCTGTCAAACTAAGGTACAGCGCTCCTTTGCCTTTCCACTTCTTAGCATCCATTGCACAGCACAATTAAATTTCAAAGGCAATTTAATTCCGCACAACAATAACATCTTACCTATGGAGATTTATATTTATGAAAAATTAACAGGTGGCAAGTAAATATTATTTAAAAAATCCATCTAAACTCAATAATGCTATTTTCTATCCTTCGTTTCACTGTAAAAGTTAATTATAATTTAAACTTCATTGACTGCGTCCACTGCACGAACATTTGGGAGCCTAACTTACGGTGTTAATAGTACAGTTGCTAAATTACCCAAGCATCAAGGAGAACGCTCGGGATGCAGGTCTACATGCTGAACGCATGTAGACCTGCATCTTGCCTGCGCCCGTCCCCCGACAACCCCCGAGGCGACTGGTTTGCCGTCCTTCTTCCCCTTTTCCCCATTTTTGTCCGTGCCTCGTCAGTTGGCCTCCTCCGCTCCCTTGTCGTCACACTCCACAGCGAGCGTCTGGATTTGCGCGCATCCGCACAGGCATTTCCCCCTCCTCCTCCTTCTCCTCCTCCTTTCTTTCCCTTCCTTTCACTCCCCTCCCTCCCTCCCCCACTTACCGCAGACAACGTCACAATACCACGAAAGCTCTGGGTACCGAGTCATGTTCAATACGAAGACCAGATGCAATCACACGTTATACTAAGCGATTACCAAAAGCTACGAAAATTCACGCAAGCTTACCGTAACAATCCGGAACTCTAGCTAAGCCTGAACTATTAGTTTATGCTTAATTGATAAAGTGAAATGCTTTTTTTTGCCGCAAATTTCTTATATCTTGGTGAAATAGAGCAAAATGTAGCAGGGTAAATATATTGGCGCAGTATAACGCAAATGGCGCAGTGTGGCGCAATCGCATCACACCTCTATCCTGAAGTTAAAGCAATCCCTTCTTAATACAAAAAAAAAAAAAGTGAAATATTGGATAACGAACTTGTCACTGTCTTTGAGCTAGGGAAGATAGTAAGAACAGAGACCCAAGTTCAGGGCTTTGAGTAAACAAGAGCAGCGTTTCACCAGATGGGAAACACTAGCGCCTTGAAGCAATACCAATTGCCAAACATTACAGAATCTTTGACAGAAATATTCGCAGCACCCTTTTATCCCAAATAATCGTAGGTTGAAACTTAGAGAAACCCAAGCCGTCAAGAGTGCCAAGTACAACTTGCAAATAGCTGACCTTAGTTACTCTGGTGAACCGGACATGGTGAGGTCCGGACGCAAGGTTCGTCGCTCGGAACATTTCCAGTCCTGTTTCCATGAGCCAGAGAAGCAACGATGTCTCCTCCTGTAAGAAGAGAACAACAATTTATGGCTAACTGCTAGGCAATTGAGTTGCATACCCGAAACGTTTTAGCATACCGAACGTTTAGCGATACTCTGAGTGTCCAGACGCCTACGCTCACAGCGCTCTTCATCAGATAATGCGTACCATGTGTACAATTGATGCTTGTTCCTAGCACGAAGCGATACTACCGCTAATCGGGCTGATAAATCTGGCGATCTTCCAGAGCCTTCCACACTCGGGAGCTCGTCTCCCTCAGTGCGCACAGGTAGCCGAGCTTTACCTTGCCTACCTCGCTCCTCCTCGCCTACCCCTCTAGTCAAACGAACCCCCCCCCCCTCGTTAACCAATCAGCGTCGAGCGCCTCACTCCTCCTTTTCCACCTTTCAACCAATCAATGTCAAACCTCGCGGCCACGCTTTTATCTGGGCTTCACAAAATGCTGAACACCTAGCCAAAGAACGTTTCAAGTTAACATCAGCGTCTTGGAGACAACATCTAGGCTAGTAGCGCGTTCCATCATCATCACAATAACTTCACATGCTTTGGGGCTCTCAAACAATGCCCACATATTAAGGCGCACTTATAATAGCTCTAGGGTTGAGAAAAGAAAGGGCCAGCTCACAACTCAGCTATAATACATGCAGGACAATCCATACCTCATTCAAACTGGTTTATGCAGTTTTTGTCCAAGCTATCGGCGAACACAGAACTGTGGCATCAGTGCCGCTTTGTTTCCTTGTTTGAATGTGATGAGCGAATCGTAAGCAGTCGACCCTCAACATATTACTATCCATTATCATGTCATTCGCTTGTTTATTGTGCAGAGATGGAGTTAAACTTGCAAAGAAGCTATCTAATTTGAAAAAAAAAGAAAAGAAAAACATTGCTTATGCACTTCAAGGTCTATTCCATTATATATACCTGTTTAGTACATTCCTACCTTTGTTATAAACAACCACTGCCTGTGAATGTGTACGTGACGAGTGCACACTAGAATTTTGAAAACATACATACAGCATGTATAATTAAGCTTCCGTAGAGAAAAAAAAAAACAATGACTTCCCGGAAAAATAAAAACTACAAGATTGTGATGTGTAAATACACACAACCTTAAGTTTTATATGGTATTCAGATTCCTATTCTGCTTAGGGGTATAAGAAAGATACCCCCTAACACGAGGCATGGGGGGGAGGGGGGGCACATAATAGTGCCACTTTTCTGACCCAAGTTGCTTTATCAATCAAATTTGTGGGTTTCACGTGCCAAACCAACGAAGGGCATCTGACAAACCCCAGCGGAAAGCTGAGGCCTCATTTCGACCCCACTGGGTTCTTTTGATGTGCAATCGAAATCTTGGTTACAAACTTTCCGACCTGCAGTCGACCGGCTGTATTACTACGAACAAGGAGTTCCCCCCTCGACTGCCTGAACATTACACAATGTTAAAACTATCGTACTTCGAGCTCCACGAGAGGAAGCTGCCTAAGCCCAAGGACATACACAAGTTTATGTTGTCAGGAAAAACGGTTATTACGTGTTGTAGAGTAGCTCAGGCAATAAAGAAAAAAAAAAAAAGTAGAGTATCTGAGTGGAAAAGTGTCCGCTTCACACGCAGCAGACCCAGGTTCGATCCCGAATGTGGGCATACAATTTTGTTTTTGTCCAACATTTTGCGATATTTAGACATTTCTTTTTTTACAATTATCACTGAACACAAAAAATGTTGTGGACGAAACGTCGTTATACTAAATGGTATGGGATTTCCTTTTTGACACCTGCGAACTCAATGTAGTCACTTTCCACAAAATGCAAGGGGCATATAAATCGGGTATACGCCCGCTTTCCGAGGTGCCCGTAACTGTTCTGCCGGAATTGCAGCCAGCCATTGGTCCCGACTCCGTCGATCTTTCGGGAACTTGTACAGACTCTGCCGCACGATGCCATTTTTGGATGCAGAACCTGTGAGGCAGCTCCCCGCGCAACATCTTGGGGGCATTCTTTTCGGAGCCAATCACGGGCATTCATCTTGAAGTGCAGAACAGCGAGCGGAACAAACATAACTGCAAAGCAATCGCACGGCAAACAGTTCCAGCGTCATCTGTTGCGCCCGGCAAAAAAAGAAAAAAAAAAAAAAAAAAAGAAAGCGCGGTCGGGTGTAGCTACGCGACTTTCGGTACTCTCTCCTTTATATTTCTCCGACCTCCGTGCGCAGGTTTCGATTTTGGTTTCGAGCAGTTGCTTTTCTTAGCTTTATTAAAAATATACGTGACTCTGTAGCAAAATATTAATTGGTAGGTAGTCTTCTGGACACCATTAAATCGCCTAGCAAAAAAAGAAAAAGAAGATATATATTTTTTTAAGGGGTGTCCATTTCATTTCACACTTTCCGATCTTGTCCTGGATCAAAGCATATGCTGCTATTTTTTTTCCTGGAAGTCTTCCTCTATTTCCACTGCCGAAGCACCCCCCCCCCCCCCTTTTTTTTGCTCGTCTAATCTCCCTGGATGCATCTTGTTTATAATTTATGGATGTTTTGGCTTCCTTATCCCACCAGCTTTTAAGCCTGTGTTTGCATTTGTTATTAAATCTGACTTTGTTTCGTTCCAACTCCCTTTTGAATACTTCTACCAATTCATTGTACGACGTCTCTTTCTCTGCTTGTGTGGTTACTATGTCCTCGATTCGTTTTTATATTTCCTTCAGCTGTGTGTCACTAAAACCTACCTTGATTTTTTTTTTTTTTTTTTGTGCTTCCGGTTCCTTGCTGTGTCCTACCAAAATTAACCTTAATTCGTTTATGGTCACTCCAAGCTTTTCATTCCTTCTTCGTCTATTTCCATGCAACGTAATCTGTTGTACAATTTTGTGGGACGTTATACAGTAGTCTACTGTCAATTGACCGTTGTTCCTCTCCCATGTTACTTTTCCCTCACATTTGATTTGTGCATCTACCAGCACCGGATCTAAGGCCTCGCATAACACCTGTAACATTCTTCCCGTCGCGTCTGTGAAACCACCCGAATCCCTCCAAGTGAGCATTCATATCTCCTATGATTAGTATTTGTGGTATTTTCCAATGGTCCCAGATTGACGGTTTAGCTCACACGAGCAAACTTAGAAGCTCGTTCTCGTTAGCGCGTGCATTCTTTGCCGGGGCCATCCTCCTCGAATGGGTCGGCGGGATCCACGCGTCCGGCTTCCCGTCGCCCGTCCCGTTTTCTGATTCGTCCCGACAGACCCAGTACGTCATCATGACGTTCGCGCTAGCTGTGCTGTCATTGGCTGGACGCATCCGACAATCCGTCCGCCGTGCCTGGCGCGTTGGACGCACGTCGGATCGCCGATCCGACGCCTGACGCGACCAAATTTTTCGGATCAGGCAGTCGTATTGCCGGATCGGACGTCGGATCGGACGGATTTTTCGCGCATGTGTCTCGCGCTTGACCGAGAGACCAGACCAGATTTTGTTGTGTTCGTCCGTTTTTTTATCGTTCCCCATCTCAGGGTTTACAAGATGTCGATTAATTACCAGCTCGCCTGCACCCTCTCACTGCTTACGGTTTTTAAGCCTTTTGCGAATTCTTAGGACCGGATGCGCTACAGCGGAATGGTCATAAGAGATTGCAAAAGGCTTAAAAACCGGTGTGGTCTCTCTCGGTCTTACTCGGTCGCAAGAGTGTGAACGGGCCTTAAAGGGGCCCTGCAAGCACGTTTTCACTAATTTTTAATTTGTACCAAACCTGAGCGCACTGAACGTAGTTACTTAGTGTAACTTTTATTTTCTTGAAATTCGCTTTATTTTAAAAGTTATAGGCAAAACAAAATTACAAAAACAAGCAAAAAATAACCTCCCTCATGACGTCCTTGGTTGCTTGAGCGGCCGTGAACTAGAGGAGCTCATCGCGAGCGCTCACGGCTACCGCACTCCGTGTCGACGGCGCGAGAGGGCGCCACTAAAGCATGTTCTGGACAGGCTGTATGCAGCGGGCAGCCAGAGCGGCTCTCATTGCATTTGCTGCGTGATTAAACACGAATTCGGCATGACACTTCATTGGCCGCAAACGACAGCAAACATGGGGTAAAGATCAGTTCAGAGTGGGAGCCACTTCGCGCTGCCATACCGCGAAACGGCCAAACCGCAAGACAAGAATCTCGCCGACGGCCTTCGGAAGGCTCGGAGCCGGTCGGATCCTTTTGCCCATACGACCGCAGCGCTGCCGCGTACATCCGGGATTTTTCCGTGTCGGCGCCTGATCCCACTACTTCTTTCTAGTATGCGCCGCCTTTTCCACCGCTTGGTGGCGGGTATAGGAACCGTGCGCATCTAATTCAAGCCCCGACCAGGGCGCCCCTAGCGGCAAACGGGTCCATCGCATCGGGGAGCTTCTGCCAGTCGCTGCGTTGGTTGTGCGTTGTAGTGGGTTAGCCGGTTAGCGTTGTAATTTCTGAGATGGCTATTCCGCACCAAGAAAGCCGCAACAATTGCTGCGTGGTCGGCTGCAACAGTACGTCGAAGATCGCACACGGCAGGAAGTACCACATCGTCCCTTCGAAGCCGTACGGCCGTACGAGGCGGAGTACTGCGCGACCTGCAGGTGCGACTTGTGCGTCCATACAGGTTAGTGGCGTTTCTTACCTTTCTGTTCGCGCTTTGTTTAAGCTGCTGACGAATAATACAATAACTTTTTTCTATTCTAGCGACGATGGAACCGCATCGACACCGACGGCAAACTCTAAAGTATGCGGCAAATACTTCACCGGAATCGAGAAGCGGAGTGCGGTCGCCCACCTAAGCCTACACTTGGATGTTTCCATCAGCCTACAGGAAGATAGTAGTGGGAATCGCGGAACGGCGCGAAAAAAATCACCCAGTTATTGTCAAGCTGATTCAGAAATAAACGTACATAATTACCACGGTCCACTCAACGCCAACTACATTTTTTTGCGGGCACGCTTAATTTTGTTAGCGGAGTACGGCGCTCCGTGACATCCACTTGTCT